CGTTCCTTATTCAAATTCTTCATGTCATTTCTCCAAGTTGGTAGCATTGTTTTGAATTGAAGTCTTGTTCTCTTGATACAGTTTTAATTTACTTAGCTTTTATGCCTGTGCAAATTTAATAAATATATGCTCCATTCTGTTGTCTGAGTTGTTAATGAAAGTATTAAATAGCCTTGGATTTAGGCCAAACCCCTGTGGAACATAACTCAGTGTGTCCTGTTTTGATATATAACTACTCCAAGTTCAGCTTTTCCAACAGTTTCACATCATATGGTGCTTTTTTCTTCTAACTCATTTATTTCCTGGTCGTGTGAGATGTGACAATGTCATGTGAGATGGTAACAAAAGCCACACTAAAGAGAAGATATATAGCAATGATTTCTTTTCATCAATCCACAAGTCCTGTTACTGTGTTCCAGAAGTGAGTTACACTGCGTGTGGCTTAATCTTGATACATCTTGGCTGCTTAGTTATCTTTTTGTTCTTTCCTGAGCACCTAAAAAGTGTTTGCTTATTTGTTCCTATATTTTCCTAGACTGAGTGGTCTATAAGTCCTATGTATGTTTGTTTGTTTTTTCCGTAAGCCTGTTTTTTAAAGATAGTGGCTACACTTCATCTTTTCGTAGACCTAGCATGCACACGCTCTATCTCCTCTAGTTCTTGGCAGTGAGGATACATCCTTTCGTTTGATGCATTTCCTATTTTATTCCAGGGCCTAGTCTCCTGTTTCTGCACACTATATGGATGTGCGTACACCCTGGGCTTTTTTTGAAGCCAGTTAGTTCCCTTTAAGAGCACACCTTTGGCACACAGATAGGGATATATATCAAGTTTTCCTTCAGCGTTATCCCAGGAAGCATTGTGCCTTCAGGTACACTCGTGCCATGACTTGGTTGGCACAGCACTCTTTCTCATACACTCATCCAGTCAATGTTCCATTATTAATATGCTGTCTGACACTTGTTATTAGTGATGAAGATATCAACAAATAATTATGATTTTCTTTTTTGAATGACAGAAGTACTAAGTTGGGCCCAGATGATTTAGAAGCAGTAAGCTAAAGGGAATAGTAACTGTAGCTTACAAGTGACCTTAGTGATGAAAATTAATGCAAAAAAGCAACAAACGTCTAGAATTTATTCATACTTAGTGTGTATTTTGTGTATCTACTCAGTGACAACATGTTCTTAGGTGTTTCTCACAGTAATATTTGCAAAATAATCTGTTGTTATCATTGGCATTCCTTGCCAGTTGTTTCTCCTCCTGCAGTTGGCCCTTTTCTGATTGTGTCCCTAAATGTGTTCCTTTAGACTTCTCAGTAGCAATCAGACCTAATTTGCACTTTTTGCATTCTGCTTTTGGTGGTTTTGCTCAGTGAAGAGCTCATGAAGTAGCTAAGTTGATCTCTCACTGCATTGCCTATTCTTCCCTTTCATCAAGGGCAGAATTGCAAATTATCGTAATGTAATTTCTGTATGAAAACTACTAGCTCACCTTAATTCTTTTTTGTTCCTTTTTAGGTTTCTCTTTTCTATGCAATTTAACCTACTAATTTTTCTAGACTATTGAAGTCCTACTTGGTGGCCACTATCTTTATCGTACTCTTTACTTCTCTTCTTAAAAATTGCGAAAAACCGAAGTTGCCTTCCAGCCAGAGTTTCTCTTGAAGCTTTCTCCTACTGATTAGGATAAAACTCTAGAAGAATTTCTTTTCCCCCCTTCGTCCTTCTTCATCTGCATGCATTAGCCAGTGTGTGTTCTTGGCTAATTATTCTGATTGCTTCTGGAAAAACCTGGTTTGTTTGACATCACTAAGTCAAGAAGGGTGTCGACCTATTGCTATGATGCTGCCACTGCACTTCTGAGCAAGTATTTGTGTATCTGATGTACAGGACACAGCTGCATTTTTTGTTTGTTTGTTTTGTTTTGGATTTTTTTGGCATGTTCTTTTTAAACGAATGGTTCTTTTTACAGTAAGGCTAAAGGGTGGTGATTAGATGGATTTTCAGTATAATCTTCATGTGCAGATTTACTGGGGAGTGCAGTGGGAACTTTGGTACCCTGTTAGTACTAATGGATGCCATATGTGTTTTGAAATAGTGAGATGTGATTGTATGACTCTGTTCTTGCCTTCTCAAAGAGGCTGGATTTCAGGTATCCTTGCCTCTAAGTGGCTTGACAAGCTTTTGTTCAAAAGCGCTGGTCCCAGACACTATGTAAGCTGTAAGTAGTTATAAAAAGAAAAGTATTTGATTTCTCTTTTACTGGATTAAGTTGCATTTTGTTACCTTTGAAGCTGTGAAACTCCTATTTAAGAATGTGATCTAACATATTTTTGTATTAGCAACGATGAAAAGTAACTGAACAACTTGTTTCTCAATGTTAAAGCTGTTACAATTATCCTCAGAGTATCACTATATTACTACTAGTTACACTGTTAGTAAAAAAATAAAGCATGCCTGAGGCAGGTTTTTTTATATGTATTTCCAAGTCTGATTTAAAAGACAATTCTGGTTTGCATTTTGTAATCTTTATTTTACCCTGTAATGTTAAAGAGCGCATGGAAAGCATAGAACTTTGCAAATACCACAAAGCTGGGCAGGGTGCAAGAACCTAGATGTATAAAGACAAGGACTTTATTCAGTAGTAGACTAGCCAGAACTTACTATTGTAATCTGAAATAGAAGAGTGGAGGATTTTTTTGCTTCACCAAGGTGCCATCATGAAACTGTTACTCCATCCTTGTTTTCCCCCTGAATCTGTGCACCCTAACATGTTCAGGTAACTCTCTAGGCAGGGCTCGCTGAACAGTGTTATGCGTTATCCCATACCAGATTGTCTTAATGGTCCCCTTCTGTCTGGGCCTTTGCAGAGATGGATGTAAGAATGAATTTTCTGGCTTTACAGATGCTAAGAACTTGCTTATGCCACAGACTAATAACAAAAAGCCTGATCTGTATAAGCTATGCAAAGAGTAGGGGAGAGATCTGTCCTAATATATTTAACAATATGAGTTATCTTACATTGCATGTGTAACTATTAATATGTCATCTTAAACAGGCTGTGGAAAGCCTCTCCATCAGATGTCTCTAAAATCAGACAATTTCAAATCTTTGAGCATCCAGAAGCTGCTTTCTCAGAGAGTGCATATTAGAGTTAGAGCATAGAAGACCACTGATTACAATAGGGTTTTTGCCACAAATTTATGAAACCCGTCTGTCCTGACCAAAGGAGAGCAATTCAGCTAGTAAAATATAAATGGGAAGACTGTATGTGGCTGCTTTTCTGTAAGATCTCTGTAAGTTATAAAAAATAATTTATTTTTTATAGACATTTAGAATAGTTTTAACCAGAGGGGGAGGAAAAAGCTCTGGTATTTAGATGTCAAATACTTGGCAGTGTTGTAAACAAACAAGTAAAATACAGAATATTACTTCTAATTAGTTTGCCTTACTGTTTGCTGGCTAATCTGTGCTTGTGTACTAGCTGGCCAGTAAGCAGAAACTACTTTTCAAGCCAAATGAACCATGTGCTGCTTTTTCCATCTGCAACCAGTCACATGGGATGAGAATGAAAAGATTTTAATATAATATTCAGGGATATTAGAGTACGCATAAAGCTTTGTGGAGGAGATCTGGGAGACCCATGCTGACAGTGCATTGAAGATGCAGGAAGGAACTGGTGGTTTTGTATGTGATGAGATGGGGTGATGTGAATTGGTTGTGGGCATCCCTGTGGCAGGGATCGCAGCAGACACGGGCGAGATTTGGCATTATTACAAGAAAGCTGGAGAGGGACTTTTTGCAAGGGCTTGGCTTTAAGCTGAACACAGGTAGATTTAGGTTGCATCTAAGGATGAAATTCTTTACTATGAGGGTGGTGAGGCACTGGAACAGGTTGCCCAGAGAAGTTGTGGATGCCCCATCCCTGGAAGTGTTCAAGGCCAGGTTGGATGAGGCTTTGGGCAACCTAGTATAGTGGAGGGTGTCCCTGCTTATGGCAGGGTGGTTGGAACTAGATGATCTTTAAGGTCCCTTCCAACCCTAACCATTCTATGATTTTATGAAGATGGGAAAATTTCACATATAAATAAAAATCTGAATTAAAATGATAACATGAATTAAGCTTTTCTGTTCTCTTTTAAAAAGCAAATACAATAGGCTGTGATGAAAGTATCATCAGGAAACTCAAGATGAACGTAGGATAAGCTGCTGTAGCAAAATTTTTTATTATCCTGCAATCTATGGGTGTGGAAACACTGTTAAATACATTTATACAGTATGCTTTTCTGGTGATTATTTACAGTGTGTTAATATTTTACTGACAGGTCTCCATTTTTATTAATTTAGTAACAAAAAATATATTAATCCAGTTAGAAAATACTAAATACATAATGTATAATCTAAAATAAAAACAAACAAATGGGACAGGTTTTAATAAATCTTATAATCAACCTGTTATTAAAAATGTGCATTGTTTTCCAGTATTCTTCTTCACTCTGGTTTGAATTCATAGATTTCATAGTACAGCTACTTTAAAAATGAAGCTCAGTATTTAGGATAATGAAAACATACATTGAAGTAAAATAAGTTGCAATTTTTTGTACTTATTTTAACATTTGAGCTATTCCTTTATCCTACTTGTTCCCGTGTTTTTAGAATTGAAATATGCTTTGTTGGAATAAGTGCTGAGGGTAATGATACATTTTTCCAGCTGTATTTTTTTCTGATCTGCTCAGTGTTTGATTATATACAAGATGATAAGATACATTGTTTTTTCTACATCTTTTATGAGTCAAAAATGTTTAAAAAAAAACTCCTAGCTTTACAGGAGTGCTGTTTTTTTTCAGTGATGATTATTGTACTTTTTACTTCTTTTTCTGTGAAAATCAGTATTGCAGAAAAGCTTCTGTGAAGATGGTGAGTGGGAAGAGGGTCTAAGATGTGTACTTGTAGGTTTTATGTTTGGGATCTCCTAAGTGAATTTGTTGTCTTTCGCAGCCATATTATGTCTGAGTATGTGAGGATGACAGATACAGAGCGGGATCAGATTGATCAAGATGCTCAGATATTTATGAGGACGTGTGCCGATGCTATTCATCAGCTGAGAGCAGAAGGTAAACTGAGCAACTCTTAAATGTGGTTTTTTCCTTAGTTATTGATAAAAGCTAATACAATGCTGAATATTGGATGGTGAATCTGAAATGCTTTTGGAAAGATTCATGAAGTCTGATTGTCTTTTTGTTTGCATCTGTGTAATCCCATTGACTGATTAGTACTGTACGTAATTTACTTTAAAGTCAGTGGAAGGAGATGCCAGAGCGTAGAATTTTGTTTATTTGTTCAAATACTCTTAATTAGCAAGTGTAAAAAAGATCTATTTTTAAAAAGTCTATTTAAAAAAATCTATTTTAAAAAAGTCTATTTAAGTCTGTTTACTACCTGAGTAGTAATTTAGCACTGTGGCACAGAGGCCTGAAACAAAGCTCACTAAATTCAATGGTTGTGTCGTTCTAGCTTGTGCACCTATAAGGTATTACAAGTGTAATCTTTCCAAGTTTGAGATAATTAAATAAATAGCTTTGACAGAGTCCTGGTAAAGTAACTGGTTTTGACAACTCGAGTATGGGATCATGCCTTTACAATACTATCGTATGGAAGTTGTAGAGAGAACTTCTGTTTTGCCATTTTCAAGTTGACTTGCTGTATGTGTGTGTTTTATCAATATACCAAATATTTTCATCAGCTTTGAAATGCCTTTTAAACATAGTTGTAGCTATGTTATTCACAGTCATTCAAAGTCAGTCATGCCTGGGAACTTCATAGTATTAAAATAAGAAATATTAATATATGTGAATTAAAAGGATGCTTGTCACAATAAATCCCAAAGATTTCCACGTAGTCTATACACTGGAGAATTTTAAATGTTAGATGTTCAATATCTTAAGCAAGTTCAGTCTCTAGATCTGTTTTGATATTTGTAGCTTGGTGACATCTATTCTTGTTTAGAAATGTAATTGACTTAATATGACTCAGTGGCATATGTAACGAGTCAATAACGTAAATATGGTTGTTGTTTTCAGCTTTTGCTTTATTGTAATAATTTGCTGTTTTACAGAACCTATATTTAAATATGGCTATGTTGCAAATAAATACTAATACGTAATATGTATAAAATGTTAATAGACTCTTGGATATAACTTGTGTTATCAACTAAAAATGCAAACTTCTGTAATTCAGTAAAAAGTTAAAAGGTTGTGTTTATATCTTTCTTTTGTATTTCAGCACACAAGGGTATCCAGTCTGCTCAGGTAAAGGAGCACAGAACAGCTGTCTTGGACTTCATTGAAGATTATTTAAAAAGTACTTAGTATTTATTGAATGGTTAAAAATGACTGATTGTATTTTCCAAGAAAGAAATCATGCTTTTCTAACCTGAAATTTTGTTTTCTGCTGTCTTGAACAGGAGTGTGTAAGCTGTATTCTGAACAAAGAGCCATCCGAGTTAAGCGAGTGATAGATAAGAAGAGACTGTGAGTAGTGTCAAAAGAATACTTTAGCTGTGCCTTTCATTTTTAGGACATTCAACAAAACCATTATTCATGTTCAGATTCTAAGGAGATTGTTTTAATGGAAATCTGTAGTTGGATGAGCAACTTCTGCTGTCAGCAGGTGCATTCCAGGGCTCTCTTACACTTCTGACACGTGAGTTTAAGTCTCTAAGTGGTAGAGTGCCAACAAGTGTTGTACTCTTCATTTGTGTAAATGATTAAAGCACCAAATCAGTAAAACGTGGGTTAACAAACCTATTGGACTTCTACAAATGCAACAAAATATTTTTGTGTCCCCCATTAAGTAATATTCTGCATAAAATAATTTAGAAAGAAATCATGCACATCAGTAATGTGTCTCAAAGATCCTATTTAGGATGCTGTCTATTTAAGTACAAGAGGTGTTTACTTCTCTCTCTCATTCTCTCTGTCTTTGTTTTCCATCTTTTTTTTTTGTGATTATATTGTGAATAAATGCTACTTGACATGTCAGGTCTTCATGGAAAGTAGAAACATGATTGAAATAAAAGAGTTTCTGCTCCCTGTTGTGTCATACATTCAGGCTGCTAACATAGAGGTGAAAATGTCTAGAAGTTAAAGATGTGCTTGCTGGCTTTGTGTTCTGTTTTGGTTTGGTTTTTTTTGGTCAAGTGTCAAAAAACATACTTTCTCAGTTTCTTTTTCTGCACGCTCCCAAGTGTAAGAATGACAAGGAGAAGGAACAGATTTGCAATTTTTTTAACACCTGAAAGGCTTTTCCATGTCTTCTCAATCTGCGTTATTTGAATTCTAACCTGAAGTTCCATTATATACATTTTAATTTAAAAATAACAAATTCTAGAACATACAGAATAATAAATAAATTCTAGAGTGTTTTTTCCCAGGCTTGATGCTGCTCGTGTTTAGTATTTGGCTCGATCAGCTATTTACATTGACATTAGAGAGATGTTTTCCAAAGTCCGTAAGTACGTTTTACTTATAGTGATGCAGCATGATTGAGCACAATTAGATTCACTCAAATATACCCTCCTGAGACCCGAATAGTAGTACAAGCCAAAACCAAGTAAAAGAATACCCCAAACCAGTTTGGAAATTTGGTAAGAAGTAATGAGAGAAAAGGAAGGCACTGGTATTTTTATAACTCCCATAACTTTTCAGAAAAAACATACAGAAACAAACTCTGATGTTTTTCATGTAAAAATACATAACCATATCAGTATTCTTCACACTAAAGAACTTCAGAGAAAGATAGCATTGTTCCTGCAGTGATAGAATTGGCTAGCACGTACCATCTCTTCTCTCCTATATTATTTTTTACCATGTGAAATCCCAGGTTCAAGATTTCTCAGATGACTAAACAGAGGAAACAACTTGATTTGATGTTTGCCAAGCATGGAGCAATGAAACTTATTTCAGAAGTTAGAATACCACAATAAGGCATTAAAAAATAACCCAGAAGATGTTTAAAAAACATTAAAAAATAATCCAAAAAATGCTTTTTTACAAGTGCATGTAGTGATAGGACAAGGGGAAATGGCTTTAAACTGAAAGAGGGCAGATTTAGATTAGAAATAAGGAAGAAATTTTTCACTCAAAGGGTGGTGAGGCATTGGAACAGGTTGCCCAGAGAAGTTGTAGATGCCCCATCCCTGGAAGCATTCAAGGCCAGGTTGGATGAGGCTTTGGGCAACCTGGTGTAGTGGAGGGTGTCCTTGCCCGTGGCAGGGGGGTTGGAACTAGATGATCTTTGAGGTCCCTTCCAACCCAAACCATTCTATGTAGTCCTTTTGTGTAGTATTGGAGGACACCTCTTTACTTTTTTTATAGACGTAAGAACTAGGAAACAGATGTTGATCAAGTGGAGTCTGTATGCATTGCAGATGTGATGTAATGGCTAAACTGTCACTTAAATTAAAATTCAAATTAAATAAATCATAAACCAATCTTTATGATGACTTGAAGAAAAATTGTCTTTTTCATATGCCTTCAACTAGTTGATTCATAATTTCCCCAAGGATTTCTGCAGACGCTTTGTGTGATAATAAGAACATGTTCCATCACTTAAAAGAACGAGGCGTTCTTTAAATAGTATATCCCAGGCATTTTGTTCGTTTTTAATTGAAAACTTCGTACATTAGCATACAGTGAAAAGTGAGGACAACAAGCAATAAAGGAATACATTTATTTAAATTAATCCTAGAGCAGATCTTATTTCCTGCAATTTAGTAACTTAAAATATGTATGTATCAGACAATACTGAAAGACTTGCAGTAGAAATGGACTTCTTCATTTTTCCTTTTATGTTGATAAACACCCTGAGCTCTTCAAGAAATTGCCTTAATGTTACAATTTTCCTACATAAGCTGCCTTTATGGATTAACTCGTATTTTTTGATTAAAAAGTTCTGCCAATTACATAGGACTAGTTCCCCAAAATGAAAAGCTGAGAAAGAGAAGCAGCTTTTTCTGTAAAGGTACTTGGTTGTGATTTTCAGTGTTTATATTTATTGGTATTCAAAATTGTATTCAATTTCAATTGTTTACTTCTTTTTCCATTAGAAGATCTTGTGAATTATGTGTGCAGTTACTCAAATCAAGCTGATATTTTTATTATCTGAGAAACTGGTATTTTATTAATATCAGAAGTATTACTTGAACTGCATGGACATCCAGATAGGTCTTTTTTCCTCATTGTAAGGCAAATTTGGAACTTGAGAGAGAGGAGATGAGAGAAGAAGAGGTTTTGTAAAAGTACCAAAAGCCCAGTACTTGCAGAGTTTTTAGAACTAAGAGAAGTTCCCCATTACTGGGTTTTCTTGTTTAAATAACGTAGTCACTCAGTGATGACTAATGTATTATATTCTGTTTTTCTCAGAATTTTCTAATTATGGGTTAGAATTCAGACACAATACAAAGAAGGAAAGGAACATAAAATCCAGCACCTTCTGTTAAGCAGCAAGGGAAGACTGCAGATCATAATGAAATTAACTGTTGATTATATTTGAGAGGAGAGGAAGTGATAAAGGTGGCACAGCAGATGATTCAGCCCATTGCTTTTTGTTTTTTTGTTCTTTAGCTTCTCTAACAGCATAATTGCTAAGCATTTAACTGTCTACTACAGAGCAGTTACAGAATTCATTGTAGACAACAATAAATCACAGAGGTTTACTGGAGAAAATATACTGTCACTAATTTTACGCTTTTTTGGTGCCACAGTGAAACGTATTTGACAAGTACGTAATGTATCATCACTGAATACGCTTCTCTCTTTTTTTTTTCATTGCCTTTGTGTTGAAATTACATAGCAGGGACTTAGATGTACTATATATCTGTCCACTACATATGATTTTTCTTTTCCTTGCTTCTAAATGGTCTATTGTGTCTTTTGGCAAACAAGGTAAGGATTGCTTTCATCCTGGTTAAACTATTCTTTAAAGCTTGTTTCAGGAAAAAGCTAATTCTGTTGCATTTTCTTACTTTTCCTTCATAATAATTGACAATATAAAGTAAAATTGTAATTATTACTTGAAAAAAAAATAATAAATGAAGTAGTGGTGTTGGCTATTGTTACTAAAAAGAATTTTCAATATGACCAAAATGTTGTTTGGTTGGTTTGTTTAAATATATATATTCTAGTACACTGGATTTTTGAAAGGAAATTTAATAAAATGTCTGTGATTTTATGCTATGTTCTTCAAAATTCTCCTTGACTCTGAACATTTTTCAGGAATACTGTCCATGCTTTCTTTGCTTTTGTTATAATATTTCAGGGAAAGTTGCTAATGATGTTTTGCATCTTGACTGGGAAATCTTTAATGTGAAGTTTGCAGGAGTTAGTGTTGAATTTAATAATCTGTGATTGTTCTCATTTTAGAGAAATTCAGGTGTGTAATATCAGTTAAATTACAGACTCTTGTGTTTCTAGGTCCAAACTTGAACCTGAGCAGAACAATGTATCCAAATCACCTCTTCCCCCTGAAAAATCTTCACAGAATGCTTCAGATGATTCTGAAGAAAAACTTTCTGCTGAGGAAAGCGAAGGTAAGAATAAAACCTGGTTATATTTCACTTTTTGTAGCAAGGCCTGTCTGTTCAATAGTACTTTCTTCACGTTACAAGGGCTTGTTCCTGTGACTTGCACCTTTTCTATTTTGATCTTCCCTGACTTGATTAGGCTTTTGTGAAGCACATTGTGAGACTGAGGAAGCAAAATCTTGAACTTTTTGATGTGCTTTTTCCAACCAGCTAAAAAAGTCTTATGCCTTGTTGGATTCTTCATCCTTTTAATAAACTGTGTGTGAACTCTCCTTTTTATTTTTTTTTTTATCAATACCGATCTACTTACATATTTTCTGAGATCCATCTGATTTTTCCACATTCACTGATGGCAAGGAATTGGACAGTAGCTCAATGACTTTCTGGGAATATTTTGTTTGTTTGTTTTTAAGCACAGAGATCGCGATTTGGACACTTCTACATTAGGAAGTCAAAGGTAGAATATGCTCATAGAGAGGAGGTCACTGGCTGGTCAGATCCAGTAGTTTTGAGGATGATGTTATCCACAGCATCGAGTTTCTGGAAGGATTGCATCTCATCTCTCAGTGGGCAGGAGATAGAGAGACTGCTTTGGACTTCTGGCTGACTCCAGAGTCATTTCAGCTGGTGCTGTTCTTGACTGGACTTGTGAATGTTGCTACCATAGCCTTGGTGACCTGCTTCTGAGGCTGGGGAGATGCAAGTCCCTTCTCTTAGCTCTTTTGGTCTGTGCTGGGATGTGTGCGTTGGCAGAACTTTGTTGCAGAGTGCCTTTTGGAGTACCACCACTATGCGGATAACTTCAGGTTTCATAACTGAAGGGAAATCATCTTGTTTCAGTGACTCTGGAGTTGCTTTCCCTGGCTTGAGTTCTCCTGCTTGTGCTGTCTAGAGGAGTCCAAAGTACCCTGTGATTTACAGCATGAATTTTTTTTTGAGAGAGAAACTGACACTGTATGAAATGTGACATTACATTGGGATAATAATTTATCAAGACAGAAGAAATGCACTAGATGGCCAATATTATTCTCATAATCAGTTATTGTTTCTTTATTGATTTTTTATTAAAAGAGTAAAGTTCCTCTGGTTGGAGTTTTTAGGGCTGTACAAAGGGTGGGTTCCTGTGAAGTGGGTACTCCATTTCTGTGTGAAGACTCTAATCCTGAATTACCTCACAGTGTGCAAGCAGTTTCATTTTCTGATATGGCACTGCTTATCTTCCTAAACAGTTTGTACTTAAGCAGCCCTCTCAGTACGCTTCCCCCGCTCCTTCACACTGAATTTATTGTAAGAAGTGAAGGTTTTGATTATGTGTCATTTCTAGTGCTACTGCATTTTTGTAGTATGTCTGAAGTGATGCAGCGCACAGGCACATAGATGAGTTTCACCTCTGCACGTTATCAGTGTTTTGCAGCTGTGAGCTAGTGCGGGCAGAGAAGCAGCAGTGCAGTAGCATCTTCATTGCCCTGTGCGCTTTCCTTGTTACCGAGTGTCTCCACAATCTCTGAAAGCGTGCGCTCCCACCACGTAGTGTCACATCGCAATTTTTAGCTCAAAAAATCTGTTCTTTGGTTGCCTTGGACACAGCAAACCACCGCAATAAACAGAATTGAAGCTTTGTTTATTGCACGTTAATTCTGATTACTCCAGTTTTTACTTTTATTAGTTTTAATTTTTTGTTAAAGAGTAGGGGTCCTGTCACACAAGTGGTGCTGATGCAGTACTTACTGCTGACTAGTCTTTGAGAAAACTATGAAACTTGTGTATCAAAATAAATCTGTCTGAAACAGTTTGTAAATGCACATAGTGTGTGATTCCTCGCAGAAGGGTAAGTGTTGGTTGGTGCTGCTTATAGAAATCAGCCGTGTGACTTCGCTCGTAGGTGGTTGTTGGAGCATGGAAATAGCGTGAACGACATGACTAGGAAACAAGGAGCTCAGTTTAAATATTGTGGCCTTTGATTTTTTTTTTTTTTCCCCCCCAAGTAACTTTGCAAATTTTCAAGAAACTGGAGAAATTATTATGTTTAGAAATAAACTGTTTCATCCTCAGGATGCTGGTGGGTTAGAGACTGGTGATCATTTGTATTTATGTATTAGCCATCATCAGTGTGCCTGGGTCCCTTGTGTTAAGTATCTCAGCTGTGAAGATAGTTCTTCTGAGAGCAGCTTGTGGTCCTGTCCTTAATTTGAATGTTATGATGAACAGCTGAATATCCTGCTTGGTCTGCTGAAGCAAAACTTGGGTTTTGTCTATTTTTTTTGGCAGAAACCAAAGCAAAATGTGATTACTTTTGTTTTGAGGCAAAACACCTGTTTACATTAGAATTATACTGAACATGCCTCATGGTAGGACAATAGTATCTCTGGAGATTGCTTTTATACGCTGACATTATTTATTTGCATATTACAAATTTGACATTTGGTTTATGGAAATAAATGTAAATAATGAGTAGCTTTTCAACTGATCCACAAGCTTAGCAGCTGTCTCCTTTCAGCATGGAAAAGGATTCAGAGGATTTGATTATTACTTTGTATCTCCATCATGTGTTAACTACTTCTCTTTCTGCAAAAGTAATGTAGTTTGGCTTTTGCTGGATGGATTGTAGCAAAGCATTCATGTCAGCTCCATGAAAGCTGCAGAACAACTTTCCCAGTAGTCAGAAAGGTACTGCAGTGGCAGGAGGAACCCTGGGGAGATACATGTTTCTTGCTTACCTCTTACCATAAGTATATTTGCTTATTAGCAATCATGTTGCTTACAGGTGCTGTTTTTTTAACAGTGCTGACAGTGCCTGAAAGTAATTGGTTCCTCTGGGATAAAATAGGAATATATCTTTTTTTTCTTGGCTCCATAAACTAATTATCTTCTTTTCTTTGAATCCGATAAATAATTAATTATTACTTTGATATAATGTAAATACATTGGTTACCTAAACAAGTAAGTTTTGTCTTTCTGTGAAACAGACTTGAAATACAGATGATACCCCATGGAAAAGAGAGTTGAATCCTTTCTAAACAATCTCTAATGATATTCATGTCTTTATTTTTTATTACTTGTAAGAAAGAACAGATCTGGTTTTGGGTTTGTGTTTCGTTTTTGTTGTTGTTGTGTTTTTTTTTTTTTTAATTTACTCTATTGCTTATCCACATCCCTCATTTGTAACATTGACTTTGTTTATACATCTTGGTTTGGTTGTTGGGAAGCAAAATATACATTTACAAGGGAGACATATACAACAAAACTCTTTTTATAATACTTATTTTTCAAGAGTTTTCCCAGATATAGTGAAGGATGAAGGGAAAATTTTTCCTTATAATCCTTTTCATGTATTTGTTTATAAATAGGAGTCTTCCCAAGACAAGTCAGTATCTGAATGATGATGCATCAGTGCTGCTTGTGCAATTGAAAAAAATCAGGTTTAGAAGGTCATAACAAAACAAATTAAAATACTTATAAATGCCTGAAAAAATTGACTTAGATAAATAGGAAGTCTGAAATCTATGAAAAAGTGAAAACTAAATCTTTCTCTATTTTAATTTGTAACCTGCATCTGATAAGTCAAAGCAGGTTCAGTTTTGATCCGTTGTGGGGTGATGCAAATCTCTTGGGTTTTGTAAAAATGCCAAAGCCAGTGGGGAAAAGAGAGGCCTTCTCAGGAGTGCTGCCTTATTGTTAGGACTGTAAATGCTGATGCTAGAACAGTTTCAGAAACAGCAGGTTCCTGTAGCTTAGTTTCTTTTCTCTCCCGTTCTAACTTCTTTGTCTATAATCAGAAGTATATAATTAAGCCTAAAAATAAATCTTCCAGAAGGGAATATTCCAGAAATAGCTGTTCAAGATCTTTTATGCTCAACTCCTGCTAAGAGTTATGCAAGTGATTAGCTTTAATCAAAAGGGGAAAATACTATTGAAATCAATGAAGCAGGTATGATGTGTAAGTTAGTTTGTCCCATGGGATCTGATTCCTGTTACATGCAGGAAGACCCCTCGCACAGTGTGCTGTAGGACTTGCACTGTAATGTGCATTTGAACAGCATGAGGAAATTGAGTTTATCCTGTGAACTTTACTCAAAATGTCTTTGAGATTCTGTTTTTACTGTTTGGAATGAGGAGCTGGTAGTTCTGTCAAGTCCCATTGGAAGAGAATAGCTTTGCATATAGACTGTCATTCTGGAAAACGTGTGGTTTTCTGCTGTTAAAAGACACATGCTACAGTATTTTGTGCCCTAACAAGTCTTAATGCGTTGTGAGTAGTTTTACACCCTTCACTGTCAGTATATTCGTGCAACTCCTCGTAGCTCACAAAAATTAAACATGTGAGTAGACTTTTGTCCTAGTTCAGAAGGTAAATGTTATTGGTGTAATTTTGTGCTGTAAATACAGGGTGAATCTCAGGTAATGACAAATGAGATACAACAATTTCATCAGGGTTCTGAAATGGACAAAAAGTGATTTTCACTTTACTACTGAGTGTCTTGCATTGTCTCGAGTATTTGGTGGTTCTTTTACAGACAAGGATCTGCCTGATGCCCAAAGTAACCTTGGATTATGGGGGGACAGCAAAGGTGAAGATGAGCTGTCACCTGAAGAAATACAAATGGTAGGTATATCTTGTGTTTTATTGTTCATTTTATTATATTTTCTGCTGTATTCATATGTGTTAAAGTACAGATTCACCCAAATTGATTTTCAACTTTCATTTTATGCAGAAGAATGCCATAACAAGATGTACCTTTTTGCACATGGCTTCCTGGTTCTTCTGGTAGCAGCTAATTGCTAAAACTGCTACAAAATACTTACATGCAGTCATGAAATTAGTAACAACTGTTTTTCAACAATTGAAATTTGTTTTTAAAATTACAATTATGAATTGCTTTTTTTTAGTCAGGAAGCAATAGAAGTCAAGGCAACATCAGAAAAAGCCTTATGAAACTCCTGAAGGAATAAGGTGTTGGCCATTTTTTTACTTGGACTATTTCTACAGCACACTTTAAATGAAGTTATACTTCATTTTATTCCTTTTTTTTTTTTTGTTTATCAAAATCATATTGGTCTACTAGAAGGAATAACTACAAGCTTTCTGTCACAAAAGAATCTCGTGAATTTTACCTTTTCTGCATTTCTCCATTATCAGCACATTTATGTATCGTTTGGCCCAATTCTGCTTGAACTCATATACTACAAAATTTCTGGCATAGGCATGGTTGCTGACAACCTATCTGTTAGACTTTTTGATATTCCTAAAATTTATCATTTTGAACATGGCTCAAAATTCTTAGAGAACCTCTCTGCATCAGCACGCACTGCCTTGTTTTATATAAAGAAAGGAAAACTGATTTACAACTAGCCAGTAGATGTGCAGTTTTCAAAACGGTGAGCTTTACTGGCACAACGGGCTGCTGCAGTACAAATATGTGAAGCTTCCTTGGCAGTGATTAGAGATGTTACCAAACACAATATGCATCACCCTCCCCGTCAGAGGCGAGTAAGTTGCACGTAATTATGGTATGGTTTGTCAGAGAGAAAAGATTCTTCAGAGCCTGCTCTTGATGCTCTCATATTGTTCTTGAGTGCCACTCTGAAATCTAAAGGTTTACTCCTGCTGTCTGTTTTCTTTTTCAAGAGAATTCTTTACATATTGTCCTTCGCCTGTGTTTAGGCACAATATTGTTAGCCCCCTTGCTATAAGCTTCCAGAGGATCAGGAGGAATCGAGCATCAGAGGTGATGGCTCTGACTATTAAATGTTGGATTGCTTTTTGTGGGCCTCGCACTGTAATTATGTTTTAAACAGGTTTACATCTCTTGCCATGGTACTTTGGGAATAAATGAAATCCTTTCATACTTTTTAGAGTAAGGCCCCAGATACCTCATGACTTAGATGAGCTGCTGAAGCCTGTGAGTTTTGTTCTGTTTCTGTTAGAAAGAGTGAAGAAGGATAAATATCGTAAAATGATGACTTTTGCCCACTGAGGATTTGAATTTTTCCCTGGAATAAGTTCTCTTTATTGACTTGTGAGGGAGAGTAATTCCAGGCCTAAGTAAGAGGAAAAATCTATATTCATTGTTTAGTGCTTTTGAAAGATTTCTAGACTCCTAAATCTCCAATCCTTACCTGCTTCTTATTAGGCGTTCGGACAGCTTTTCCCAGGGGAGAACCAACAGACATTTTTTAAAAGTCTGTTATTATTCTTTACCCATTCAGAGCTCTCCTGTGCTATGCTTTTTTTTTATTATAATATATTATTTAAATTCTTACTGGTTATTTTACACTGATTTACTTCTGTTGTGCTTTCAGGAGTTGCACTTTCTGTGAAAAGGGGTATAAAAATAACACTGATGCTCCAAATTAAATAAACTTTTAGCTCAGACAGACTATAGTATGTCCTTATTAGCTTACACAGTTCTGCCTCTAGTTTGCAAGAAAATTTATAGTATATAACAGTGCCTTGATGTCAGTGCCATGAGTAAACCTAGAAAAATTACTTGTGCTGGAAACTTTAGATTTCAGCTTTATCAGTCCGCTCAGTGGGAAAAGGGAGACAGATTTACTAGTCTGTTCAGAGAAGCAGAAGATCAAAATGCTACCAAACTAAAAATAACATACTTTGAAGTCCTATATATATTGGTACACTGAAATATTATTACTGCTCTTGTGCCATAGTTTGTTCTTAAATTTCCATGTGTGAATTTACATTTACAATTTATTTTTGTTATGTACTCTCTGTACTTGTGTTGTAGTACTGATTCTTGAAAACAAGAATTGGAAAAAGCTTATGAAGGGAAGTTACGCGTAGAACAGCCCCCTCTCTGCTTAGAATTTATTTCAGGTTTTGCAGAAAGCTGGGTCTGAGCTGGATGTCTGAATCTTGCTGTGGTCTGATCTCTTCTCTCCTGTTGTACCTTGCTGTGGGCTGACAATATGACCACTGGTGGTCAGGGCTGTCTGTATCTCCACTTCTTCTCACACTGACTTGGAGTCTCTGCTTCTGGCACTGTTGTGAAGAAATATGGGCTTGCTTTCTACCTCTCCTAAAAATTAACGAGCATCAGTTACTTCCATGTTATGTCTTGGAAGGAGTCTACATTTATTATGATTTAAAAGAAAAGCATGTCAGCATTCGTGGCAGTGTTAATACACATTTTTTTTCTTTCTCGTAAAGTAGAAAGCAAGCTGATTGTTTCTAGTTATAGTTAATGCCCCCTGATGAGGTTGGCTTCTTGTAAGGTAATTTTTTTGTCGTTAGATTGGATTGCGTATTATTGGAGTTGTCAAACTGTAACCAGAGAGTTGAATGTTTGTGCAGTAGGTGTGTGTGCACGGCACGTTTCCAAGCCATTGCTCTGTTCTGTGGAACTAATGCAATTTCTTTTTTTTTTTTTTAATTAGGGTTTGGGGTTTTTTCATTTTATGAACACTATAATTAGATAATTTACAAAGGCTAAGGACCTATGTGGTGACTGTTCCACAGCAAAACTGCTCTTTCAGTGCATTTTTGAGGAAATTTATAGCTAAGAGTTGGCCTTTATTAGTAAAAGTTGGACACTGTAATTTCACTCCTAACAGCCTTTAAAGTCACTGGATCCAGTATTCTAATTTTCAGGTAAATTTGGGTCCAAGGTGTAAATCTAGGTGTAACTAGGAGATAATTTGAGTATTTGAATGTGTATAGCTTTTTTTCATTGCTCACATAAGTCCTTCATACTAACTTGGCAATATTTAATGACTTCATTGTGCTTTTAAGAATCAAAAGGTCTTTATAAACACGTAACAGACCCTCACAGCTTCAGTTAACTTATTCACTCAAAGGACAATTAATTATTTCTCCTCTGAGTTATGCTTGCTATTACAGAGAAGTTAATTTCTACTTTTTGAACATTTGACTTGTGAAACGTGGACCAACTGCATTTAAGTCACTCAGAAAATCCAGCAGTTCTCAGAAGAGGGTAGGTTACAGTGTAGAAACTGCTGTGTTGGTTTTAAGTTGGAACATGTTGTGTCAAATCTTACTTGACAATTCTCAGTTGTGGCTCCATGATCCTTCCTGTGGGTAAAATAATGAATTAAAGCCCCATCATATTGCTACAGCAGCAATTTCTATCATTTTACCCACAGGAGAGAGCTTTACATTGTTCAGAATGGTTGCAGGCTACTGTATGAGTTGCACAATAAATTTCAGTTTATCACCCTGAGTACAGGTATATTAATGATTTTATAGTTATTGTGCGCAGATGTCTTGTAGTTGCATTGAGTGGGAAAAAATCTGACTCCACTGTTGGACTTGTGAAAATATCTAACTTTCCCTGATGCTATCTCTTTTTTTGTTGTTGTTTATTTTTGTCTTAAATTCAGGTACAGCACATATAATGACTTATCTCATGGGATAACATAAAAGAACTGCCATTATTTCTTCTACACCTTAGATTTTTAGACGTATCTTAAAGCAGTTTGTCACTTTGTGCCATACTTTGGTCACAGAACGTATCACTTAAAGAGGCTACTTTAATAAGCCATAACTCTTTGAGCCATACTGATGGCTGGAGTTTGGTTTATGTTCCCATCATGTAAATCCCTTTGTGACATACTGGTATAGGATGTGTTCTGCACTCCACCCTTTTGTTTGATTGTCTATTTCAGCGTCTCGTACTGCTCTCTGGGCCAAGCGGTCCGTCAGCCAGGATTGCAAACTGCAAAGATAATTTAGCACTTTAAAAGGCGATCCATGCCAGTGGAGGGTTTTAAATATCAAAGGAGCTTTTTAAAGAATACATTCTCAAGTGGATTTGTGCTATTTGTAAGGGATTAAAATCATTCACTGTTTCTTTATTGAAAAATTGCCTTCTAAATTAGTTATCGTCTCAGTTCTACTAAGGCAGCAAAATAGGGAATTTTTGATGTTGAATATTTCTGCAGAAGTACTTATCCTTACAGAAGTCAGAAAAACAATTACAGCTTGGTGGCCCTGTTTAGTCACTTCAGGACTATCCAGTCGACTTTGGTGCTAAACTTCGTGGCTCTATTTCATTGCTCTGTTCCTTGGCTTTGTTCTGAGGTGACTCCACTAGAACTAGAGACATACAGTGGTGTGAACATAAAGGAGCGCAGTGAGGAAACACCTTCAACCATCTGCTGCTGTGAAGTAAATATCACTGTATTAGTCAATTATATTTTAACAAATGCTCTGCTCTGTAGGAGGAGACACTACAGACAGCAGTGACAATGACCTTGGAATGTATTGCAGCACTGATACTTTATTTAGGAAACCACTGGATCTTCAGGGTGGAAATCAGTGGGACTTCAGGGAGTCGTGCAGTATGTTCCTCTTTGTTCTGCCTTGACCCATGGAGCTGGGCTTCTTCCCCGAGGCCTCTGCCCCACAGTGAAGGTGACAGTGCCTGACAGCCCTCCTCCCCATATGTGATCTTGGACTCCGGAGTCCTTTAACCAAGGAGAGAAAGCTGTTCTCGCCAATCAGGTAGACTGGGAACCTCTAGTACAAAAAGAAATCTGTGTTTTAAAAGAAATGTTTCCTTATTCTTCATGACATAAACTGCCTAAGTCTGAAGCCTGGACTATTTTTCTGTGAGATTCACTATTACCCTTCTTTAAACCTACCTGTAACTTGCTTCTGCCAAATGAAACCTACAAATTTCTGATTTGTAACACAGTAACCATTTCTCCCTAAGTCATGCAGGTTGATGGTTAATTTGCTGTTGGCAGTCATGTTTCTGTTGTTTCTCTGGCGTCATGATGGGCCTGAAGCAAGATGAAAAACATTACACAAAGTGTAGGGGACAATGGTGATGGTGTGGAGTGTGAGGACGGAGCGAAAGTGAAGGGTATGACAGGTGGCTTGCCTTTTCTTGCTTCCTTGCTCTCCTGTGTTGGTCTGTGGCTGTGCAGAAGTCTTGCGCAGCCCCTGCTATCCACTCTCCCTTAAAGCAGCCCTATCACCTGGGCCTGTGGTGGGATTCAGTTTACTAATCTGCCAGAAAATTCAGGAGGAAAAAGTGGTTCGTGAGCTGAAGTGTCATAGTGTGAAATGGGACGAGCAGCAGCACTTGATTAGGACTGTCTATGCAGGGAGAGAGAGGAGCACAACAAATTCCTCAGTGGCTGCACGAGATCTCTTTCACTGCACCCTAAGCAGTGTGCACGCTTTATTTCTTCTCTGTGTTAGTATTATGAAAGTGCTTGGTATGGCAGAAGTTTCAGCTGGAGCATTCTGGATCATTTTGAGGGATGCACACATCAGCATCTGAAGGAACATGTACAAGGAACTGCACAAGCTCTGTAAGGAAGATCTTAAAAGACCTGGGAGAGAGACACTGGTGGCATGATTGGGGCAGGGTGGGGGCCACAGCGGTGAGGCCCAGATCATCGTGGAATGTAGCAGTATGATAATGTTACATGTCCGTACTCCTATGGACAGTCGGCTCTGTGAAAGACGCTGGGGTCAGATGAACGGTGTGTCCTGTTACTGCCTCTGATTTTCATGTTGCATCTTAACGACGAACTGTGTCATCGTTCAAGACTACTGAAATACTGAGCGTCATTTCCAGCTGTTTCAGCAGCGCTGCTTTAAAAGCAAAACACCCGTTTGCCTTTCACTGATGTAACACGACCCTCACGTTACCATAATTCTCTGGTGGTTCCGACCTTTTCTCCCTCCTTCTTTCCTTTTGCTTTTTGCACAAGATGATGGTTGTTTTCAAATACTTACTGCCTTCTCTGGGCGACACCTCTTCTTCTTGCAAGCTTAAACATTGGACATTTGCTCAGATAGTAAGCAAGTCCTGTTGCACCAACTGAAAATCAAGTCTGACCTGTAAGCAGAGCTGCTCTGTTGGCATTCTCATTTTTGACAACACGCTGCTCTGTCTTAAAAAGGATAACAAGAGCTGGCAAGGTGGCTGAGAGGAACGCTGTGACGTGCGGATATAGACTCCACAACTCGGAAGGCTGTACAGTAGGTATGTTTATTGCAGCACTGGGTGCACGGGGATCGCTCCACCACAAACGTGCACACCCGCTGTAGCAGTTTTCTTGTATTTATACAGACATGCTCATAACCCCCTCCCCAAAAGGGCAGTCTCTTCCAGGAGATCACTTCCATAGTCCCTGCTTCAGGCTCCTCCTCGACACGCCTCCTGGTGGTCATGGGTAGGGGTCTTCAGGACGAAGGCCGTAGGTCTTCCTTGCTGTGTATTTTCACTTCGTCCCTAAAATTCCTGTTTTGGCTGAGCTTGCACAGCCAACCCTGTTCCCAGCCTGGCCTGTCCTTGAGTGGACACCTGGTTGTCTCCTACTTGATATTGTTTGAAGACAAATGTTAGTTCTTGTTAGTCCTTATCTCTCCTCTTTGTCTTTTCTTTCTCCCTATGGGTCACAAGTTACAACCTTGCTAGCATTTATTTTGTCTCTCTTATCAGCCTTCTTTTTGGGTAGTTAGTATTTCAAAGCAGGGAACAGTATTTGATAACTTTGAACATTCCACAGAGCTAATACAGTCTTATGTAGTCTTATGCCTATTCTTATACCTATCCATAGAAATAATAGCTAATATAGTTTTATATGGTCCTATGCCTACTCCTATACCTATCCCCCTATCAGCTGTGCTTTTGCTGCTAATGAAATCGTAACGTGATTGAATTATGCCAGAATCCCAGTGTGTTACGTAGGCTTGTTCAAAATAAGGGGATTAACTGGACTAGAACAGGGCTTGCTCTCTTGCACAGCTCCAATGTAGAATTTTTCGCATTCTGAATCCTGTTTTCTGGCATTTGCACTGCTGCATGTATCACTCGGGTTTGTCAGCAGCGTGTAGCAGGCAATGTTTGGAGTAGAAATTTGTATCTCGTGTGCTGTTTCTTTATAGACCAGGTCTTTCCCAGCTTTGTGAGGAAAGTGCAGAGATCTAGTCTCTTGTGTCCGTGCCACAAAGCTCCAGCTGTTATTGAGGCTTTGGCCATGTAGGATGAACTGGCACAATACTCGGAATGAGCTTCCCCTCCCTCCGCCAAAATGGGACCCGTGACCCTTCCAACAGGAGGTGCTCTGCTGTCCCCGACGGCAGGAGCCTTTCGGCTGGGGCAGGCCACAGCGCTCCCCGAGAGCCTTTGCCCAGGTCCGGGTGCCTGTGGGGTGGGGAGTGGCGCGCTGCGGGCCCCCTCCGGCTTTTAACCAGCCCTAGTGGGCTGCTGGGCTGCCAGATCGAACTCATGCGGGCACCCAGAGAATCCCTGCTCGGTCTGCCCTAGTGGGTTCTGTTGATCTCCCTCCTTATGATGCAGTTTCCACCAAGCTCCACTACAGCATGGGGTACCTGTCTCGGCTGTGGTTTGGCTGTGCAGATTTTATTTCAGCAAATTGTGTCATCGTACTCACGGCATGATTGCTTGTTCTGTAATGAATCCCAAATCATCTGGCAGTCAAGTACATCTGAAAAGTCAAAGCTTATTTTCCTGTACAAAGTCTTCTATTTATGCTTGTATTTGAAAAATGTAGTGCTGGAAGTGTATTTAAATGTGTCCTGATTACTCCTGAGTTTTAAATGGAAGAGGTCTGCTGGAATAACTAAAGCCAATGCATTTGTAAAGTACGACATACTCAATGTCAAAATATTCCATCCTGTAGCAAAATCTAAAAGCTCTTAACTTCATGCCATGGGCAGTACATGAGTCATATGAGTAACAGGGCAAAGATGTCATGAAGAGAATCGTATGCTTTCACAAGCACGAAAGCTTTCCCCACTCAAATTTCTAGAATAATTTATTATTTCATCCACTGTATTTTTTCCTTACTGCAAAGTAACTTGAGCGAAATCTCCAAGTTATCTGGGGGTTTGTTTCTGCGATGGGAGGAGAATGACAAGTGTTAAAGTGACTGGCCACAAAAAAGCAGATTCATATTGTTCGTTTAGGCCAGTCTTAGTAATTAATATAAGATAGAGTATTTAATATAATAGTAATTAATAGTAATTAATATAAGATAGAGTATCTTTTTAGTTGAGACATACTGTAAACAGATTGTAAGGAAGGGTGGAAGTTGGTTGATCGGGGTGGGGGCCAAAGCAAGTTCCCTGAGTCCAAGCATCTGAACTCGTGTGTGATTTCCTTCTTCCCTTCTTCCAGTTTGAACAGGAGAACCAGAGACTTGTTGGTGAAATGAATAATCTCTTTGATGAAGTCAGGTACAATCTTCTGTTACTCGACAGACTGCTGTGCACGCCAGGCCCACAACCCAGACAACACGCCCACACGGTGAACGTGCTGCAGGAATTTAGTGGTGTGGTAGAAGGAGGGACAAAACAGGAGCACCCGGGAACCAAACTGCATGAGTTTACACATTGTACTGTTGTGTAAAGAATGGTTCCGAGTGACACACGAACTATCCAAAACATGAACGTGAACCCTCCAAATATAACCAAAACCATCTCACTTAGATGAGAGAGATAATAATTAAGTTTTAAAGCTTAAGTTTTAAAAGATTGTTTTCCATTCATACCACGTTGTCTGCTGCAGAGAGCAGCTGGGAAGGTGCAGTCCTTGACCCTCTGCGGAGACCTGTCTTTACGGCAGCGCGGCCGTGCCGTTTACCCTCCGCTTGCTGTGCAGAAAACCCGAGTGGCAAACTCAAGCTAGAACTTTACTCTTGGATCATTAGTGCTAGGCAAGACGAATTCCACACTTTGTAGTAGCATATCAGAAGGATATGTCAAAATTAACTACTTAGGGCCCACCATGAATTTTATTGTATCAGAGGAAAGAAGGAAGATATGTGGAGCTCTGGCAGTGAAGGCTGCGATCTGCCAACTTCCAGGTGGTGCCTTTCCCAGAGCATCACTGCGGCTGGTCATCTTCCAGCCATGAGTTGTCAGAGCACTGATGGCAGCCTACTGCTGCCTAAGAGACGGCTACGGAGTAGTTGTCCCTTCTGAACAGCCCGCCTACCGGGTGGGAGCATCTGAACCTGCAGGAGCAAGAAATGTTTGCGCTTGTTTCTAACAGAGTATTTCTGTTCTTTGCCAAGACAAATTGAAGGAAAAGTCGTGGAAATCTCCAGATTACAAGAGATATTCACTGAAAAAGTCTTGCAACAGGTTAGTATAATTTAGTGCTACAGCAGCAAGTACAGCTTGAAGACTTTCCTGGGGGTATTTTGGCCTCTGTTGCATGCAAGATGTAAACGTAAGATTCATGAATCTTTGGTGCAAATGTGAAGGAAAAGGTTTTTGTTTTTCAAATGCAAAACCAAAATATTTACTGTTGTTACTTACTAGTATGTACTAGGACTGGAAAATACAACAGAGGTTAGAATGATCCCTCTGCCTCTGAATTAGCATCCTGTTAAATGTGTTATTTAATTGCATCTTTTCTGTAACTGGTGGCACCTCTTCCAAAAGAGCCAGCAAAAATTAGACAGGTTGGATTTGATTCTAGATAAATGGGAGACTTCCTGTTGATCTCAGTGGTCTTTCCGTTCAGGCTCAGAAAATCACAGGTAAAGAAATTACAACTTAATTATTTATTAGCCTCTCAACCTTTGCATCACTGAAACAAAGATGTTAACTGTAAAATCAAATCTGGTATTATTGAGTTCTGCTTGTTCCCCAAATCCTTAGAAGTGTTTGTTTTTCCTAAAATTCATCATTGTTTCTCAATTTTATGTTTTTAACAGGAAACTGATATTGACAATATCCATCAGTTAGTTGTGGGTGCAACAGAGAATATCAAAGAAGGCAACGAAGACATAAGAGAGGTAATGTCTCGAAGCTGTGTTTTAAACTCACTCGTTTCTCTTAACTTTCAGTTTTGCCCAAGTGTTGCTCTAAGGAGCACGTGCAGGCTCCCTCATGGTACAGGTGCCACGTGTGCTGGGGTGTCAGGACATGGTTTTGGAAAAACTGTACAAGTTAGCTGAGCTGTACAAGTGTTGCTTGTCTCGCTAACTGAGATGTGAATAGCTGGACAGGTCTGCAAAAATCGACTTGGCCTCACCTGTTTCTTAAATGTGAAGGTCACCTGGGATGCATTTAAGAACCTGTGCGGTTTGTTTTGAAAAAAACAAACATGGAGGGGGGGAAGAAATTGCAGACTAAGAATAAAAGACTGCTGAAATTGTTCAAAATCGAGTTGAAAGCTGAGTGTTGGCAGAAGAGCCTCTTAACCATGCTGAATGCGTCTCACATGCTCCTAGTAAACAAATCTATCCCATTGTCTTACTGGTTAGAATGAAATGATGTTTTCTCTCAGGAACTGAGATGTCAATAAAAACAGAGTTCCTAAATTAGGCTACTCAGTAAATAGCTCAGGGTTTTTTCCCCCCTCCTGAAAGCACACAGAATATGTAACTCAAGGATGAGTTACCTACTGCTTGGCTCTCCTGAAACGTGCATCAAACGTACATCAGCAAGTGTAACTCAGGGACTTAGACTGATTTGGAACTTACTTCCACATCTCTTCAAGTAGAGTTGGAATATCTGGAGTTTTCTCTTCAGTAGCTGGTGGTATGGCACATGGTGGGAAGATGTTTGGGTTTTTTAAAGACTTAAATCAATGGATTTACTAATATTTAGCATACAGTTACTGTGCCTTTAAATCATGATTCTTAGGCACTTCAGACAGGACACCAGGAGAGTATGGAGATGTCAGCCGATTGTCCCAGTGCTCGCGGTGAGAGATCAGTATTCAGCAACATGGCATGAAATGAAGTTATTTTTGCTTCATTTTTCACGTTTGTAGGTAGAACTAAGTTTCCTAAACCACACTGAGAAACAGTAGAAAAAAGTAATAAATACAAAAGTTTGTCACTCACTCGCATTCATGTTTCTATTACATGAAAAAATCTATTCTGTGTGTCAATCTGAAAAATGAGAGAGAAAAACAGGTCCCCTGCTATATGCCAGTCTCAGTTTTGGGAAGGAGACCCCAAGAAGAATTCTTGCTCTACTTGCTCCTTGCTCTACTTGTTCTGAGACTGAAATACATGATTGACATCAACATCCAGAAATAGTTTTCAGGTTTTGGCTTTTTTGTGGTTTGTTTTTTTTAGTCAGATTTTATTAGAATGATGAAGGCCTGATTATTTCTGATCACAGAAATTCACTTTTGGAACCTAAAACTAACCTTTAAGCATGTACTTCTTGATGTAGTTCTTAATGTTTTTGGTATATTTCCACTGTGTGGGGTCTTGGGATTATTTTTTTTTTTTAAATGACCAACTTTAAGATTTTGAGAGAAACTTCAGTGTGATAAATCTGAAGAGGTACATCCAACCTGACTGTTATTCACCTGAAATTAATGGCAAGTTTTGTTCTTTCTCGTGCGTGAGGGAAGAGCGAAGCTACTAACAGTCACCGTGGGTTGCCGTTGTTGGAATTCTACTGCGCATTTACTGGTGATGGTAATGGAGATAACCTTTTCCTTACAGGCCATCAAAAACAATGCTGGATTTAGAGTATGGATCCTGTTCTTCCTTGTGATGTGTTCATTTTCCTTGCTTTTCCTGGACTGGTATGATAATTAATTAAAAATATAATACTGTCTACATGCTTTCTTTGTAAAACCTTTGACTTTTTTTCCAATGGAGTGGGGTATATGGCATATCTGTGTATTTTGTTCATTTTTTCATACTACGATGGAAATATTTTCTAATAAATAAGCACATGTATATATCCATTAGTGCCAAGGGAGCTGACAGCATTCATTTAAAATCCCTTTACTGAACATAAACCCACGCTTAATCCTGCCGAGAACATAGAAACTGTTGAAAGAGCTGGTAGGAAAGCTACGAGCTGGAGCAGAGCTAACAGGAGAGAAACATCAGTAATGGTTTTATCAGTCACCCACACATCTGTGACGTCTGAGATCCCGCTCCCAGTGCGCACCAGATCAAGAGAAAACTGTTACTGTGCAAAAGCAGCATCTACACTGTCTCAGGCTTTATTTAATCATACCACTTCAGTACACAGTGACACTTTGCACATGTATGACCTCTACTCCTAATCCTTCGGAAGCACTCCACCCAGAGATCAGGTTGATTTAACAGCCATAATAACGATAAAGTCAACTAAAGAGCTTTACTCCTGGGTGAAAAGAGGGAATACAACACAAACAGATTGCGCAGTGAAACAGACGTTCTGGGATGTCAGAACAAAGCCAAAGGATAGACAATATTAAAGCCAAACTCTTCAAAATACTAAAAGTAGGAGCAATTAAACTAAAAAAAAAGTCTCAAAACTAACTGTAAATAAGAATCAATAAACTCCCTCCTGTTAAATAGAGGAAAAAATGGGTTTGACTTCAAGAAGCATAAGTGATCTGTTTCTCCTAGATCGTAAAGCTTAGGGTTTCTTTTAATGTTTTTTGTTATGAGAGAAGGAAAGAAGTTGTTTCTCATCAGTATTTACTTGTGCATGTAAGTTTTTATTGTCCTAAATTTAAGGGGAGGAGATATATCATGAATCATTTCTATGCAGGACAGTCTTGGGGAATGGATCTTTTCATCTTGTAAAATCTGACTGGCCTCTGTAAATATGTTAATATGAAATGTGTGGTTTGCTGTCTCTCTTCTGGAATGTATATTTCTATACATTATAAGCAACAAGCAGCAGCATCCTTATTCTTTACTCTGCACAGAGTGAAAATGTCAAAAGTTACATGTGAATTAATTACATCCAATAAAGCATATGCCTATTAAAAAATGCAACTATGGCATGTTTTGAGTATCTTAACATAAGCTTGAAATTTTTAAATGCAAATAAAAAATTTGGCACATAATTTATTGCTTTTTATGCATTCCACATACTATGACTTAAGCCTTTTACAGATATTACTGTGTAATACACACTCTGTATCAAACCTAGAGACTTAAGTTAAAAATAATGGTTATTTTTACTGTTTTGTTGATAAAGCAGTTCTACTGGAGAAAAAAATAAAAGTAGAGCTGACCATGTTTGTTCTACTACAGATCTTGAGAAACAGCCTATACAGATGTTTTCCCTTCATTTTTGTGTAAGTCTCTACCAAAAAATAAAAAAAGGAACTTTTGACATGTCCACTGCAACTTGTCCCATTCAGGTTACACAAACAAAAAAGGTGACTTGCTTGCCTAGATGCTTCACACGCTTATTTTGTCTAACTGTAAATTAACAAGATGTCTTTTTTGTAATATATATTTAAGATTTATAATAAAAATGAAAACAGTTTCACACAAAGAACAGATGTTTGTAATTACAATGGAACTTTAACGTGCATCCACAATACTATGTTCTTCTACATCTTTTGCCCTCCCATGCCATACATCAACAGTTCTACTCTTCAGTCGGTTTCACGTGTAGCTTTAAAACAGCCAGTTGTGTTATCTAACGCGCTACTGATTCACTTGTGATGCGCTCTGTTTCAAAAAGTATTAAACTTCAAACCATACATAAACTGAAAGCTCTTTCTCATTAATAAAAAGAGAAAATGTTAGGGTAATAGAAGAGGAAAATTTAGACGTATTACTCCCTCTGTCGTATCCAACAAATGACATAGTGGACTACATCTACTGTGAACAGGCTTTCTGCCTCTGAAGTATGATCAAAAGATGTCGTTTCTCATTAGGACATCCTGAACTGTGTATTTTTTACACTATCCTCAACATCCATCACTAAAACTGTCTGTGTTTTTCCACAATGTCTATCTAGTTTGTGTTTCAGTGCACATCTTTACCAAGATGCTAAAGCCATGGTGGAAATGCAGTTAAATCCTGTTGACAGCAATAATAAAACATTGAGCATGCCTTGTTGCAGAGAACTTCATTATCACTTACAAATAAACAACAGTAAAGAAAGTGTAAGAAAAACACTACCTGACAGTTTCTTTCTCCACACAAGTCATTACATCACGCCCTTGACATCAGTGCTGACTATCATTCTTGTTTGAGCCAAAACTCAAAATTAAATACAGCTTTCAGCTAAACAAGAGATCACTCTAGTTATGGCTGAGGTGTTTCAGTTTGCAAAATGACATAGAATACAAAAAATAAATAAAGAATCAGTTCAGACAACAGAACAGATGATTTATCTAAGGTCCAAGCCCTGAAAATCCGGCCAAGAAATCTGTCAGTATTCAATAAACTGCAAAAACATACCTAACATTGGATTTTTTTTTAACATTGAAAATGGTGTCAAAGCTCCCAAAGCAATGCTGATATGCACCTTATTTTATGCTCATGAATGTTCTGCAGCAAGTTTTTGTTTTTTGTTAGTTTTTTTTTTTGCAAAGCAGTATCAGCAAACAGAAGCAATTGCACCATAAACATGAGTAACCTCTAAATTATCCATTATTATACTTAATGAAAAGTTCCTTAAAGTCCCTTAGTTACCTTCAAATGACATAGTGTTAACAATTAGCTTATCATACTAAGCTGATTTCTCAGCAGCTTCAGTCTCCTGTTCAGAGAGTTTCTCTTCTGACAGTACTGTCATCCACGGGGACACTGAGCGCGTGATGGTTTGTTTGGCCAGATTGTAGTGGTTTATGACTGTGTAAAACTTCCCTCGAGCACTGGAGTCTTGTTCAGAGTAGTAGTTTTCCAACCCAGCTGGAATGCATTGATTATTCTGGAAAGAAAAGCCATCACTTAGATTACAGATACGGTCCCATACACACCAAAAATAGGTTAGGGGTTTTTTTGAAAATTTTAGTCTAAGCCAACGTTCACTTTCTGTGAGTCAAGATGCAACATACAGCAATTAACTAC